CACTGTGGCATTTGAATAAAGCAAGGGAATTTGGGAATTATGAGACCCTTCCTAGCTAGCTTAGGCAGTCAGGGACTATTGTCCATGGAGAACAAATTGTGGAAATCCTGTGACACTTTAAAATTAAGCCAACCTTTCCTGAAATCCAGGGTGACGACCGTGCTGTTGTTCAGAGTTATTGATTGGTGTGTGTTATGTATTGCCTCGCAAGGTCAAATCTGCCTGGCCGGGACAGGACTGCCTGAATTTAGGGTCACATGAAACCTTTGCCATAGCTCTTACAATTTTTTCCATATGCTCCCTTGCCACACTGGAGAGGGAGAAGGAAGAATTAAGGCATTGCTGTGATGCCAGCAGGCAGCAGAATTTTTGTATCTCTTCTCCCCTGGGATGAAGAGAAGAAGCAACCAATACCCAGTGGCCTTTAATCAAGGGGAAAATACAGGTGGACAGTTTTTCACTTGCAACTGGTTTAAGCTACACAGAAGAAAGTAATCATTGTTTCAATATTAGATAGATCTCGGTGCAAATACATCCCTCTGGTTAGAGAGTTTTTAGGTGCAGAACTGAGATTTGCATCCCAGCCATTTTGGGATACAGGGACAGTGGAGTTCTCCAAAAGAACAGGGGTGTCATTCATCTCAGGGTGTTCTTTTGACATTTGCTTTTGGTTGAGAAAATTGCATAGACAGTTGTAAGCAAAATAGAATATAGAAAATATTAAAGATAATTTTTAGGGAGATTAGTTGGTAATATGGATATTTTTCATTGTTGTTTACTACTGGGGTGTACTTTTTCTATAAAATTTTGAATGGTCGGTTAATAGGCTGTAAATCTCTAGGATCTTAATAAGATAACTTAGAAGTAGATTGAAGCAATCTCTGAGGGCATTAATTGCAAAATACATGTTTCCATTAACTTCAAACTGGAACTAGTGTTAATTATTTGTGACTTGTGTAAAGGCAACTACAGTTAAAAGGTTAACTTCTTGCTACAATTCCAGTTTGCTTGTGGTTTTCTTTTCTTTTTTTTTAATAGTGCCCGTTCACACAGAAGGAATAAACATTGTGAAATCTGATATAGGTATAAAGCCTGACATCTAATGCTTTTGTAAAAATGTGTTGAGCTTCTCCAGAGAATGTTTGTTCAATCAATAAATCAGAACTAGAAGAGACCTAAGGATAAGGCTGTCTTTCTCAGTCTAGAATCGCTCTTGCGCATACTTCACTTAAAGAACTAAAATAAAAATTTGCACAGTTGGATGTCCAGTCTTGCCCAGTTCCCAAGTGGATTGTAATTTAAAACTGAAAACAGGGCACCACCTGCACTATTTGACTGTTTTAATGAAGTCCTGGGAAAATTATTTTCTAGGGAATTATATGACTTGAATAACAGGCCTGGCTGGCTCTTTTACCCACTCCATATTTTTTGGAATTCTAGTTATTTTTCTTGTTTGCAGCTTTCCTGGGCTGTTATCATCCTGTGGAGCTGGTGATCTGCTTTGATAAGAGATACAGAAAATAATATAAGGGATACAGTAAGAGGGTTGAAGTAGGGTAGTATAAATGGCAGTGCTCTGTTATTGTGGATTTCAGGGATATAGTACTTTGCATCAGGGAAATTTAGACCTGACCTGTCATCCCAGCTGTTGCTCAGTCCACAAACTCTGTGTTTGTGAACTTTGTAAATAAATTGATATTTTGCACTGGGAACAGACGGTAAAATGTCTTGAAATCAATAACTGGCAGCCCCAGTATATGCTCAATAAAAATCCTGATGATTGTTTCCTTGGTCATAGAATGGGCTTGCCCCAAGTACAGTGCAGCAGTGTGAAAGTAAAGAAACCTTGATTTTTATTTAATTTTATTTTTTGGGGGGTGGTGGTAGTGTCTTTATTTATTTATTTTTGTTGGTTTAGTGGGGTTTGGGTTTTTTTTATTTTTATTTTTTTGTGGTGGCAGTGAGATGTTTTTTTCTTTTGAATCTTCATTCTGTAATCTGTCTCTTTCTTCCACAGCTCTGCTGGCAGAGAGGTGGTAGAAGGGTGGTCATGTCAGCTGCAGAAGAGGTGTTGGGCTTAATTTATACGGCGTTTATTGATGGTTTAAGTTACCAAGGCAGCGGCAGCACGGAGGCAATGTCAGCTGCCGCCAGGAACAGCTTAGCCTGTCTCTGGCCCAGGATAGCACCTCTGCAGCAAAGCACAGCCCAGGACATTTGTCCCTGCACCAACAGCATTCAGACATTGGATGGGTCAGCCATAGGAGCAGGTGTGTCTGCTCACCTCCTGCAGTGGTGGGCAAGCTCTTGTGATCATAGTAAAGAGAGCCTGGCTCTGGGTATACCTTTCCCAAGAGAGAAGGCTTGTCATCATACTTTTTTACATGGCAGTGAATGGCTGATTCCTCAATAACTTCTCTGGTTTTACATGAAAGGAACTGGTTAAAACAGACAAAAGGATTAAATTACAGCCTCCTAAAAGAGAGGTGTGGATATCTTTGACTATAGCCAGTTATTGAAGTCAAAGTATCTCATGGGTATATTTACTGTATGACACTGACTCATGCTCTGTCACAGGCTGCCACGTGAGTTACACAGACTTCAAAGGATAGAAATGCTAGAAGCCTTCAAGGAGGTGAATTTGGGATGGTCACGCTCAGGAGTGAGTCCTAACTGGATCTCCATTACAGTAGTGCACAGAATGGTGTTGGGTTTTTCCATAGCCTCACTGACTGTCTTCAACATGCTCATGGTAGGAAGTGGAAGAGCAAGTTTCAATATTCACACTCCTCATGACCAGTGACAGGGCTCAAGGAAATAGCATGAAGCTGAGGCAGGGGAGGTTTAGGTTGGATATCAGGAAAAAGTTTCTTGCCCAGAGGATGGTTGGGCACTAGAATGGTATCCCCAGGGAAGTGGTCAGTGTACTAGCCTAACATAGTTCAGGAAGTGTTTGAACAATGCTCTCTGGCACATGGTGTGATGCTGGGGGTGTCCTGTGCAGGGCCAAGAGTTGGACTTGATGATCCTGATGGGTCCCTTCCAACTCAGAATGTTTTATGATTCTGCATATTAGACTCAGTCCTTTTTTGGGTTTTTGGTTGCTTGGAGAAGGAGAAAGAGTCCTGTTGTAGTCAGTAGTAGGAACAGATCTACAATTTGGGCAGCACATTTGTACAGTGGTTTTTGCTTCTGATTCTGTGTGTTACTTTGCTCTGCAGGGCCTGTTGGTGTTGCAGGTTCCACCAAGTACAATACAGCTCGTGCCATATATTCCTCCCCTGGTGCCTTGACTGACAAAGTAATTTGGTAAAGTCACAAATCAATGGTGTGTTTTTCTAGAACATTTATCTGGTTTACTTTGCATTACATAAAGACCAGCCATTAGATGTGTCTCATCCCTTCTGTGTTAATCCAGCAGCATGAATACAGAGCAAGAGAGCTGTGGTTTGAGCACGAGGGCCCTGTACACTGCTCTAGTCCTTATCTGCTCTCCAATCTTTGAGCTCTTACGTAATATGTTTAAGGCTGTTTTTTTGACTAATCTCTTTTGGGGTCTCATTTTGCGTTCTTAGGCTCCAGGAACAAAGAACTGCTATGCTCTTCTCTTGTGAAATCCTTTCCAGAAGGTGCACATTATCTACTACAAGACAGGGCAATGATGAGCATCAATTTCCACAGCAGAATAGAAGCCTGGATTACAAATTACTACTTAATCCTTTTTGCGTCAAAGGATATAATAATCCTTGTAAAATGTGCTCTGAGTCTTGTGCTTGGCTGTGTGAGGTTAAGGGGCAAAAATCAAAATAGCGAATCTCGTAAAAAGTAAGACATGGGGAAATGTATGTGTTCCACATGAATTTCAGAATATATGTTTAGAACTGCATTTCTCTGTATCTTCTATTGCTTTGCTAGAAAACAGTCTCTGTCATGAGTGTTGTTTGCTGAATTGCAATAAAGAATTTAGTAAGCATTGCTCTAATTTGATTTTTTTTCTCCGCCCACAAGTGAGAATGTTTACCAAAATTAACAAATATGGAGGTGTCTTAAGACTGTGAGGAAATTTGTTTTATTTTCCAAATCATCACGTTATGTGTGTCAAGCAGTGTGATTCTGTAAGGGAGATAAGGGTAAATAAGGTTGGGAGGGATAAGGATTTAGTGTTTGAAATTGCAGACTGATGGCTGCACAACTTCCTGCCCAAGCAGCTATTTTAATAGGGGCAAAGTTTAATAACATAAAAAGTTTAGAAAATAAATCTTGTGGTGACAGACCTAAAGTCCTTTCTTGTCACATTGAGTGTGCTGTTTGTTAGGTAAAAAGCAAAACAAGTAAGTTGTTTGAAACCAGTAGTTTCATATGAATAGTTTATTCCATATTTTTTCTACTGGCCTCTGTACTAAATCAGATGGGGCATATTGGATAGAATCTCTCCTTCTTACTGTGTAGCAATCCACAGAGAAAACCTAGATGTGTTGATATATCTGCAATATTACTAATGGAATGGGGTAAGCCGTTTGCTGTTATTTTCAATGCAGTGTATTTAGAACATTACTAATAACCTAATATTCTGTATAGTCAAAATCCTAAAAACAAGAGTAGGAACAGATTAAAATTGTTATCTCTCATTAAAGAACACATTTCATTATTTGATCATATAACCATTGTTCCACAATAGGGTATTTTGTGCCAGATGCTAATTGCATGCTTCTAGTGTGACAATACATAATGTGATGCCCTTGCTGTCACAGAATGGTCCTCTTGCAGGTGAAGACTGCACTGCACCAGCCCTCATGAAGCCATAAAATGTTTGTAAATGTTGTAAAAGGATTTGTATTTGTAGCTGTTTTGTTGTTCTTTTCTATGACAGACTTTCAGAAAACAGGAATATTCCCCTGATCTATCTTGCTGTTGTATTTTGGTAAACCCAGAAGTCAAATGTTTTGAAGAGAACTTCCATATTTCCTGCAAAATGTATAATTTCTATTTATTTGTTTCAGAAAATGACTGAAGAATACATATAAGTTACGCTGGAAGAAGTAGCTTTGCTGTGAGCATCCCCATCCTATGAGAAGGAAGAGGAGAAGGATCCGTCAGCCTTCTTAGGTGTAAAATGGGGACTACAGGTGATGACATGGCTGCAGTGGAGCAGAATGCCTCCTTGAACCCTCTGTGCTTTGAGTGTGGTCAGCAGCACTGGACAAGGGAGAACCATCTCTACAACTACCAGAACGAAGTGGATGATGACTTGGTCTGCCACATTTGCCTTCAGCCCTTGTTGCAGCCGTTGGACACTCCCTGTGGACACACTTTCTGCTACAAGTGCCTAAGGAACTTTCTGCAGGAGAAGGATTTCTGCCCACTGGATCGAAAAAGACTCCATTTTAAGCTCTGCAAAAAATCCAGTATCCTTGTTCATAAACTGTTAGACAAGCTCTTTGTTTTGTGCCCTTTCTCTTCTGTGTGTCAGGAAGTGATGCAGCGATGTGACCTGGCAGCACATCTTAAGAACAGGTGAGTGCTGCAGGTGCTTGCGTTGCATTTTCCCTAAAGACTTGTTTGTGTGAAGTTTGTGTACCAGTAGAAATTGTGGGCAGGAGAGGGGGAGAGAGTTGGTGGTGGCTTTTAAATTCACAGTAGAAATGGAAAGTCATTGGTCAGTCTGTAACTGTGCACAGGCAATGCACTGGATTACCCTTTTTTTGTACATCACACCAGAAAACAGCGGACACTGCTTGGTGATAGCCATAAGGAGAATGACACAGATCATTAGAGGTCTGAAGAAAATTATTTATCAAAAAAAAAAATAAAATACAGTGGCAGTTGATTACAGTAAGGGAAAAAAGGCTGAGGAAGTGGGAAAATTAAAGATGTGCAAACTCTGCAGAGAGGAGAGAACTGGTGCATTAGGAACAAAGAAGATCAAGTTCAGATTTTAGGGGAAAAAGCTTTATAATGGTGAGGCACCGGCATAGATTGGTTAGGTGGTAATTGTCTATTCCCCGTTTTCAGAAGGGTTTATGAACATGTTAAACTTTCATCAGGAATAGTTACATCAGAATTGATTCTGCTTTGAGGTAGGCAGATGGACACGGTATCTCTCAGGACTGGTGGGCCTTCTCTGCCTGCTCTCAGTCCAATCCAGGGACACTGGTGACCACCCAGACAGAAAGGTTCATTTGAGAGGTGCATGGACCTACTCCATGGACTTCTTTCAGAGTCTTGGTCTTTGTCCATTTGGAGCCTCTTGGAGACCATCTTCAGGTGGAGAGTGATGTTGCGGAGGAGCTGGGGAGCATGTGTGTGGTACAGGTGTGCCTGCTGGTAGGTGCTCTGCACAGAAGGGGAAAAGGGCAGATATCACCTGCCTTTCATTTGTTCACATTCATATTTCCATGTGCCCTCTTTTTCCACATGTTGTGAGGGCTTCTGGGGATTCAGAGTTTGGGAGGACCCTGGGAATGCAGAACATGCAGCAGCCCTGTGGACTGTGATGAACATGGAGCTACCTGAGTATTTTTGGTTGTTGTGGTATGGTGTCCATGTCAGGGAGGTACAGGGACTAATTAGGAGCCTTTCTCTTTAGGTTTTTATCTTTTTTTTTTTTTTAATTCTCCACATTGCTTCCATGTTAGATTAAGCACTTGCTTGTTTACTTGTGGCAAGTAATTTCTGATCTATATGATGACTTGGAGGTGGTGAAGAGGCCTAACTGTTTTATGATTTATAATCCTGATATTTAACTGATTTGATTTTAATGAAAGGCAAAATGCTAGCAAGACTACTACTAAATCTTAATCTGCTTTCCCACTGTCATATCCCTCTCCTCTTCAGTCCTTTTTCCTTGGTTGACATTATTTTGAACATTAGGGCTGTTTACAACAGGGTCATGTAACTTATTTGTACAAAGAACACTGTGTATGCACTCTTTAAGTATACATGAAATATCCATTTACTTAATGCACAAGGTTATCATGGAATCCAAGTGAGTCACAGGCTTTTCCTGTTTGTTGGCTGGGAAAAAGCTTTCAGTTGCAGAAGGCTGCTCATTTTCAATTCCTTCTGTTGCCTCGGTTATCTTGGCTGATACACATTTTGAGTATACGGTGATTTACAGTTTTCAATTAAGTTTATTTGCAAACATCTGAACACCCATAAATTATCATTGCTGACATAAATGGTAGCAGCAACTGCATAGTTCGTATTTAATTCTATATGGATTAGTGAATCCAGTAAACTTCTACTACTGATCATTACATTTAGGAAGGAAATAGAAAATTAAGTATTATTGTAATTGTCACAATTGATTAATACAAACCAGTTTCAACAAGCCTTTACATGAGCTGGTTTCTGTTTCTAAAGAAAGCTGTATGGTTGGTTAATTTTCACTGTCTAAAAATCTTCACACTGAGGTTTTCCAGTGTTTTTTTATTGGCTTCATTTGAGTATAAAGACTGGAAGAAAATGTCATTGTATCCACCAGGTGCCTCAGAGTGTAAGGAGCATTACTGCAAGATGCTCCCACAAGGAGATGAGAGGCATCAGACGCAAACCTGATTACTTCACATTCGCTAATTGCACTCCATGATACCTCACTGCACACAGAAAATAGTCTTGATTTCTCAGACTCTTGAGTTTCATTACATTCACTTGCAAACTTGGTTTTTTAAAGTTAAATACAGTGCATGTAATACAGTTTAAAGGGAAGAACCATATGAGTCATGTTGACATGTTTTTCAGTCACTCAGTATAGAAAATTTGTTAATGTTTGGTAAAGTGTCAGTTTCATTCCCTGGAGTTCTTTTAAGGAAAGACTGGATATGGCTCTCAATGCCGTGGTCTAGTTGACATGGTGATGTTTGGTCATGGATTGGATTCTGTGGTCTCAAAGGTTTTTTCCAACCTAATTGATGCTGTGATTCTGTAATTTCTAAATACCAAAGGTACATTTATGAGAAGAAAATCTGAAAAAAAGTTAATGAGATTTTCTGTGTATGATTTTAATTGAGTTAATTCTTACAGCTTTTTCAGAAGTGAAAGAAGTCTATTGTACAAAAACATACTATGAAATTCTTACACTATATAATGAGGGGGTTGAGTAGTGTGTTTATTGCTTTGAGTTGGGTTTCAGCTTTCGTCTCCTGTATTTCCCTATGGCAGCTTAAGTTACCATTTTGGATGGAGACATTTTTCCAACTGGGTAACATTGTAGATAATTTTATGTCAAATTAAGTTTGGACCTTGTATAGGATTGCATTTTTTGGAATTGAAGAAACAGTTGAGCTATTGTCCACAGCATGCCTTATATATGGATTTAGAGTAACAAAATCCATGGGAAGACAAGTTGTAAAGGTACAGATTTTTGTCATTCAAAAACATGGCAGTCCCACTTATTTTGGCGTTTATGACAGCGCTGGTGAGCCCTGTTCTTCCCACTCTCTCCCATGTTAGCTGCAGGTACTGTCCCTGTCTGGCACTTTGGAGCACCAGAAGTGAAGAGGATCTATGGGATTTAATCCTGCTTTGAATAAGTGGATAGGCAACAGAGTCATAGTTTTTACATTCCCTATGGACTCTACCCATTGCTGGAAAGGTACACAATTGGTGGTTGTTCTCTTCTCTGAAGCCACTTGACTCCTTCTCACCTTAACAAAATCACTCTTGTTTTATTTTTCCTTAGTCTTCTCTGATTCCCAAACCTAGATAATTGCTGGTGCCTCATTTTCCCCACTTCCTTATTTTTTTGCTTTATTTTTTTCTCCTGTCAAAAGAGAAAAACTAAGACCCAGATATTCAACTTTCCAAAGCAGGACCAGGTTTTACTTTGAATTGCAGCTGTAAATCTTGCCAGAATTACTGCTTAAGGTCACTTTGCTTGCAAAGTTTTATGAGCAATAGCAAAGGCACTTGGTCTGCTTCTTTGCAGTCTTTGCTTAAACACAGCTCCTGCTTGGAAAATGATTTAGTGCAACTGCTTGGAGGTTATTTAGTGTGTTTGCTTTTATCAAACCACTAGACTGGGCAGAAGCTGATGGCGTAGGTTACAATGAATTCTTTCTTTTCAGTAGTCAGTGAGCAAATGTGCTTTTCAAGCTCCTACTGTTATTCCACAGAAATACTCTGTAAACTACATCTTAATTTTGTATGAAAGCTCTTTTTACCAGTGAAGAGGGATTGCTGATAGTGTTCCAAGAAGTCAGCTTTTAAATGAGAAATCCAGCAGACTTGGCTGTAAAAAAAATACAACAAAAACCCACCAAACAAAAAGACTAATTTTTCTTCTTTGTCTGATATGAATTAAGAGAAATTGAAGGTAAAAGCTATGCTTTGTCACCTTCCAGAAGTGAGCAGAAGCAGGTGCTGAAGAGGGTAGAGGAAGAAATTGAATATAAGCAGAAGCTAATTCTGCTTCTCTAGAATAACTGCCCTTCAGTCTTCCCATTAACATCACTTGGTTGCTTTAGCTGGGTAGTTTTACTATCATAGAATAGTTTGAGTTGGAATCATACTCGTGAGTGTCCTGATTCATGAAAGAAATTAAAGAATTTCTAAAAATTCTTAAAGCAGTCCTGCCTTTATTCTTGCTCCTAGACAAGATACTCTCTGGCTTTGTATTTAGGTATGAAATACCATTTCTCAAAGTTTGAATTCAACCCTTATTTATACAAGTTGTTTTATGAGAGTGTTTTTATGAGTAAAGGAATCCAGTCTTCAAAGCTTGTTTTGATCATGAGGTGCCCATCTATGTACGTAACTTGTTACAAGGTTTAGACCAAAATGCTCTTTATCCCAGATACTTGGTATTAGTGAAAGTGTGCATCTCTAGAGATTTATTGGTGCTTAATTGTTACAATTGCTGTATGCTTTTGCTGTTTGTGAATAATACATTCTTACTGCCAACGAAAATCTTTTTTTGTTGCAAGTGGAAAGAAAAAAATCTCCACATAGCTGTGCTTGAATACCAAGACAGGGCTTTGCTGCTTGGTAGGTGGCTGTGTTTAAAGACCTAGGAACGGGACGTGAATTAATGTCTCCACTAGACTGCTACCTTCTTGGCGATGCAGTTGCACTGTACTGGACTGAAATTCAGAGTCTTTAACAATTACTGGTTAATTTGGGGAAGAATCTGTGGAGTTTTGCCCTTTTTTGCCTCATACAGTGCTGCATGAAAGGGATTCCACTGAACTGAGTAGGTGTACTCAGGACCCTGTTTACATTTCTTGTACTAGCTTTTGAAATGATAATTAAATATCATTGGCCAAAATAAACCTCAAATCTTATTTCTATTTTGTGTGATGACTTTCATCAGCTGCCAGGTAATGATGGGAGAATGTGCTCTGTGAAGGAGGGTGGAGGAGGACCTGGCTGTGGTTTTGGAGGCTTTGACAGAAATAGGACACTTCCAGGGATGAGTTTTATGCTGTCCTGGTTTGACACAGCTTACAAAAACCCCAAAACTCTAAGGTGTGCTTTGCCACCTCAAGCAGGTCCTTTGGGCTCCGCAGGCCTTGTGAGATGGCTGAGTCTGAGTCAACAGCAGTACAGTGGTTTGTAGGAGGTATCTAAGAAAGTGTTTGGCTCACAGAAATAGTCCACTAAGGCTGGACTGTGCTGTCAGGCTCAGAGGGATTCAGAAGCGTGGTTCTCTGACAAGTGTTGGTTTTGAACTGTTTATGTACCTCTTTGCTGAGAAATCACCAGTTCTATAGCACAGCAGTTCAGGGACAGCAAGGACATGCAGCTTGGTATGGTTTTGTCCTAAATTCTTGTGAATCAGTGTGGGAGAGCATGTCTGTCAGAGCTCCCAGCAGACAAAAGTTTTTCTCTGCAAAAGCATTTACCCCTTGCTGTGTTGCTGCAGAAGTGAGTGAGGTTGAAGATTGTTCCTTTTTTTTTTTTTTCCTGTTGCCAATGTTAAGATTTGAGGGAGCAATGAGGCTAACCCATCAAGTTAAAGTATGTTAAAAATACTGAGGGAAGTGACAGCATCTTTCCATTTCTTGGTCTCTTGGGACTGTTGTTTTGAGGTTTGCATTGTGAAATGGTCAATGATAGAAATTTCCTGCTGATTTTCACTTGTAATTGTGTCTCCAGCCACCACACAGATATATTGGCCAATCACTCCCACTATACCAGTGGTTTTTTTGTCTGGGCAAAGCCAAGAAATAGGGTTGTGTTCTATCGTTAAAATAAGAGAAACATTTTCACAAAGCAAAACCTTTCAAATCATTTTCTTTATTTCTGCTTACACTTTCTTAACTTGGAAGAACAAAATTACCAGCAGTTGTTTTGGGAAAAGCCCCAAGGAATTATTGCTGAAATGCATCATGTCATAATATGAACTGTCTCCAACATATGTTTTTATGCATCTTTTACAGAATATTTGGGTTACCTTTCTCTACTTTTTTAAACACAGAGAACACAAATCTCTGGGGAGGCCTTATAGCACCTTTCAGTACCTAAAAGGGATACAAGGGATCTGGAGAGGGATTTTTTGTAAGGGCATGTAGTGCTAGGTAGGTTAAGGGGAATGGCTTTAAACTGAAAAAGGGTAAATTTAGGTTAAATAATAGGATGAATTTCTGTATTGTGAGGGTGGAAGTATTTCTTAGAAAAGCTGCAGATGCCCCATCACTAAAAGTGTTCAAGGCCAGGCAGGATGGGGCTCTGAGAAGCCTGGTCTAGTAGATAGAAGATGCTTCCTGCCTGTGGCAGGGGGGGTTTAAACTAGATGATCTCTAAGATCCCTTCCAACCACAATGACTCTATCATTCTATGTATGTAATTAAAAGAAAATAAAGGTATCTTCAGGTATGTGTGTGTATATATATATATATATATATATAATGTTATGTATGTATAACATGTCTGGGGGTCACAGAAGCTTTAACAACATTTTTTGGATCTGAAAACTTTGTTAGCAGGTTATCTTCAAAATCCATGCTGAAATAATCTAACCATATAATTACTAAATCCCTTTTACGGAATGTCAGAACAGAATCATGATTCTCAAAACATTCTGCTTTAATAAGTTAGGATGTCATTAGGCTTCTGCTGTCTTTTGCTCTGTTAGCACATTTCTTCTCTTGCAAGAATAAATAATTTCTTTTTTTGTTACGAAGATCTGCCAAGTTCCCAAACACTGAATCCTTTTAAGAATATGGTTCCTTTTTTTTGACTGCTACAGTATGAGCATTTTTAGGTGGTCAGCAGCTTCAGAAGCAGGAGCTTTAAGGGCATCAAATACTGTAAGAAGTGATTTATCAGACACTGGCAAAACTGTCACAGAGGCAGATGTGAGATTGATGTCCACATCTAATTACATGCATGAAAGTGCAAGATGATTTGATAAATGAAGGCTTTCTATAAATTTGCATCTGACAGCCCTTTTTTGTAATAAGCTATTGTAGGCTGTTAAATATAAGCAAAAAAAAAAAAAAACCTGCATTAAGAGTAATGGAAACTTACAAAGCTAAGTTTGTAGTGAAAAGCATCAAATGCTGAAGGAGCATTGTTGCATAAGGGGAACAAAAATTACACCTGCCATGTGAAGTCAGAAGGAAAAAACAGGAGACAGGAGGGACATGAGAACACCTTCTATTGGCCCAAGAGACGATGATGAGCAGAGCTGTTACTTTTGCTAGACGTCTCATACAGACTGCTAGAGAAGCAGAATTTTCTTTCACTATTTTAACACTTAGATTGCAATATAGATAAAATTTTCATCTCTTTCCTCCTTTGAATGAGCCCAGGAAAACAGGATGCTTAGTTCTTTCGGCTTACTAAGGTGAAAGGTGATCACTTCAGTGAGTCTCCAGTTGTGTCTTGGAACAGGGCTTCTCTTACATGGATTTTTTTTTATAATCCTGTTTAATTTTTCCAGAAGGTTATCTTCCAGAAACTGAAATGTACTAAATCCACCTTCTAGTGGAAGGTGTCCCTGTCCATGGCAGAAGGGTTGGAACTAGATGATAAACTTTAAGGCCCTTTCCAACCCAAACCATTCTGTAGTAACAGAGTAAGTCCACATTCAGAAGTTGTTACAGCACATTGAGTTCGAGGCCACAATACTACCTAGTAGAAGTTTTGTGAAGAAAGCAATATTGGGATTTTGTCCACTAAAACATATTTTGGCCTTAAAATTCAGTGTGTTTTATATTTTTTTATGCTGTGTTTAAAGCTGTGGCTTTGGTTTGACTGATTTAACTTGATGAAATATTTGAGTGTTTTGGGCTACAAACAGGGCTGCAGGCTTGAAGCATGATATCACTGTTGTCTTTACAGGTGTCCTGGAGCTTCTCATCGGAGAGTTGCTTTGGAGAGAAGGAAAACGAGCAAGCTACAAGCTGAAGCAGAGGGTGAGAGTGGTCTTGGCGGGCCAGAGCAGCCCGGCAGTTTATCTCCGGACGCTGATCAGGGAATAGTGCCAGCTGAGCCGAGCTTTACCTCGCCCGCCCTGCCCGCCTGGGCAGACGAGCCCGGCATCGACAATCCGCCTTTTGAGGAGAACACAGTAACAGACAGTATGTCATCACTTATCTTCTCAAGTCTCTTTTATCAGATGTGGAAACATTTGTGGTGTCAGAGCTTGTCTCTTACCAACTGTGAATGTGCATCTTCATCTTTGGCTCTTTTCCTTTGCAGTTTCTGGAGAAATATTAGTGGGTTTTGATTGTGTGTAAGTTTACAACTGAGATAAAGTCACAGGAAGGAAAGAAATATCTCAGAGTGTATGCCAGCTACTGTGGTGCTGTATCATCATTTATTGTGTCATGGTGCAGTAGTTCATGTTAATCTGTTAGTGGGACTGGCCTTACAAGTGAGATGGAAGGAGTGTAGTTCCTCTAAAATTCCGAAAGTTGTTTCCTAAGATGAGATTTGTTTTTCCCTCTTCACCATTTCTCCCCAGCTGGAGCAGCAGCCTTCTCACACAGAGTGCTGTCCTGCTCAAGCAAAAAAGCAGCTGAGGTACTCCTGCACCCATCTGCACCGAATGAGCAGTAACACCTTTAGCATCTGGGATTTTAGAGAGGAATTGCTGAGCCTTACCACAGAGGAAGATGGTCCCATCCCCTTTCTGCTCCTCTATATTTGCGATCCTTTAGCAATCTCCTTTTTCCTCTCCATGTTTGCTTCAGAAATGGGCTTCAGTTGACCAAGTAACTCAATAGCAGCTCCTCATGCAGTTGCAAGACAAAGAATTTGTAAAATACATTTTTATCATCATCACCAAGTGCAAAAAAAATATGAAATTTATTATAATGGATGGAATCCAAAGGGTTTAGAATATCCTGTTCCAATCCAAATTACCTCATTTCAGGAAGCATGGATGCTACTAAGTCTTCAGTTCCTTTCTAACAAGCTAGGGGTTTCAACAAGTAGTAGAACGGATCCATTTACACTGGTTTAGTTTTTTGTGAAATTGCTGCTTTGTGGCCTGTCTACATTATCTTTTGGTGATTTATTTTATTGGAAGTGAATGAGGTAGAAAATATATTAATTGTCTTTCTTTTTAAAAATAATTGGCAGCAAATCAACAGCCACCTACCTTGCCTGAAGGAGAGATCACTACTATTGAAATTCATCGGTCCAATCCTTATATTGAATTAGGAATTAGCATAGTGGGTGGCAATGAAACACCTTTGATCAACATTGTCATTCAAGAGGTTTATCGAGATGGGATCATTGCCAGAGATGGAAGACTTCTTGCTGGAGACCAAATACTTCAAGTATGGAACCTAATTACATATTCTGTCTGCTTGCTTTCTATTCACTCCTTGCAGAATTGTTGTTAAAATGAGATGGAAGATTTTCCTTGTCAGACTATGTTGTGTCAATGTTAGCTTTGCAATTATCAGTTGGAAAGCAAATTAATATTCAGAGCAGAGCCTGTTGTTCTAACACTTTTGGCTATCATGCTTTGTGTTGTTTGTCGGACCAGTCACTGGAATTAGCTCTCCTCCCTAGCATCTGTTGTCAACATTTAAAATACAAGTTTATTTTTCTGTTTTTAAATGTTGTGGGACTTGGTCCTTATTTCAACTTTATGCATGCATTCCAAAGGAGCCCAAGGTTATTTCTGGCTGGCAAGTTGGTGTAACTTATCCTATGTAAAAAGCAATTTGTGGATTGCAAGGCTGGTTTCATCTAAACTGTTATTTTAATCTGGCTTCACTGGTGCCTTCCAAAAGCTGAGGCAGTTGACCAGCATCTTTCAGTATGTATAAAAGACTCAATGATAGGATTCAATGGAAGGATTTGAAGCAAGGTGCTCTAAGTATTTAAAGAAAAAAAAAATAAACAAAATGTAAGTTGGTTTTGACTGTGTATTTTTGTTTTGGTTTTAAGTAATTAGCCACAGGCAGTATAAAAAGATCAAATTCTATTAATTTTGAAATTTTAGCTTTTACATTATGGGAAGGGGTTGTTTATACAACACTTAAGAATGGCAGTAACTGAGTGCTACATAAACAGAACAGTCATCCAATTTCTATTTTTAATCATTCCACCTGAAACAAATACATTATTGTCAATTCAAAGTTACTTCAGTAAGAATGTTTGCTTTTGATCTGGCAGCCTAAGATCAGTACAAATGTAGTTGTAAGCCTTCTTCACTTCACTGTTTTGAAATCAAGCCAATAGAAGTAGCATAAATACAGTAGTTACCCTTGGAATAAAATTAGTTTGCACTTCAGAAAATAAAGTCCCTTTTGAGAAATGTGCCTTTTTCCTCTCTTGGAGTGTAAGCATAGTGGCTGGCCAAGAAAACAACCCAAGAGGTTTCCAAGATGTTGCCTTTTTAACAAGTAATTGCAGACACTGATTGAATGCTGCCTCATTTATTTTTATACTAAGGGCTCTACTGTTTGACAGAATAGGGAGCTTGAGTTCCAGTGAAGCTTTGGAAAATCCTGCTGTTTGGGCAGGTGTCAGTTACAGTTTCCAAAGCCATAAATGGCTGTGAATTGACTGTAAACAGGAATTTACTAGCTGCAGTGAGTCTTCCCTATCAACAGCCTGGCAGTGGGGCTGTCAGATGCTAAGTGGGTGTCCATGCGAGTCCTTCTCTCATGCCAAGGGAGAGGTACAGATGGTAAAACCTAAATTTTGGGGGGAGGTAGAATATCTTTATTTCTTTGAATTTACCTGTGCAGATGCTGAGCTGTTGTATTAAAATGATAAGGTTCAATCTCTGCCATCTATAATTAGGTGAACTTAGGTGCAGCTCAGCATGCAGACTTTGGTTGGATGTTTCTGAAAATGTCTTCCAGGGCTTTTATGAGCTGTAAAGGTCTAAAAGAAAGAACCAGAAAGGACTGTGAGATGAAACTCAGCATTTTCTTGCCCAGTCAAACAAGAAGTATTACCCTTTTAAGAGCTGTGGGAACAGCATTTAGTAGCAGCTACATAAAAGCTTGTGTTGTCTGCAAGGTACAGATAGGAGCCTAACATTTTCAAAGTGCTCTACAAATTGTCTCTTTTTTGTGCTGGACTGTGACTGTAATTCATGTGAAGCATGTCCTAATGAGAATCTCTTTCCCCAAGAAGTGCTAAGGCTGTTTTATTCTGAAATTTTAAACTGCCTTATAGAAAGAAGAATAACATTTTATTGCATATATTCTTCTGTGCCCCTTGAGTGCTCCCATACTTTATGTATTTACTTTAGCTAGCTATAGTTAAAAATAAAAATGGATTTAATTTAAGGGCTCTGATGGATAGGTCCTAGTGGTTTTTGTGGGAGGCAGCTCTAAATGTTATTTCTCCTAGCTGTGCCTCTTTTCCCTCCGCACAAGGTTACAGCCTGTGCCAGGGCAGTAGCAGAGCAGGACACCAGCATGGTTCTGTCTGAGCTCATGGTGCTGCCAGGAGCAGTGGCTTTGTGCTGGGTTTTGGGCTGGAGGTGTCTCAGGGAGTGTGCAGTCCTCCTTCACTATCGGAAGCCACCACAGCCAAATGGTTCAGCAGAGACTTCTGGGATCCCCTCAGTTCAGATGTGTGGTGTAAATGTGGCAGCTTTTGTACATGAATTATTTTGTATATTTTTTTCATTTTAATATTGCTGTTAGATGGTGAGAAGCTGCATGTTTGCTTAGGTTACAATGGGGAGTATTAAAAGGCTTAGGTAAGGCACATCAATCAGTATAGACCATTTGGTGTTAATTTCTATCTGCTGAAATCGTGGGGCAGAGATTTCTCCACCAAGGCCAAGGATGAGATTCTGATGTTAACTTTCGATGCTTTGTTACAAAACAAGGCAAACACAGCTTTTGTGCTGCATTTTTTCATACTCCTCTTTTCTTCCAAATTTCATTGTACACTCAGTTCTTATTTTTACAGTTGCAAGAAATGACTGAAGATTACTGATCTTTGTATCATATATATGGGCCATATAACAAGCAATTTTTAGTTCTAGGTAGAGAAAGTATAATCTGTTTTTAATTTACAACTGAATTTTGGGTGATACAGGTTATAAGTCTGAAACTCTGGCCTAGTTGAAATCTGTAGAAAATCTAAGTTCGTGCCAAGACTTGACAATTAGTACAACTACCTTTTTTCTACTGTATTAATGAACCAATTTCATTATTCTTGACTTGAGTTTTTTAATTTTTTCACATAATTAAAGTGCTGCATATTGTAAGACACAAGCTTGCTTCAGAGATTTGGATGCATTCTTTCTATAGCTATTATTTTGCAATTTCAAGTGATGCTGGGCTTGACCTTGAAAGCACATGCCATGTTCTTCTCCTGGAGAACAAACAATGTAGAGATCTAAGGAAGACAAGTATAGACCAAGAGGACAAAAACCTTGGCCTGTGATGGCAGAGGATGTTCATTTTTGGGGACATGTTGTCACCTTTGTGGGAAAACACGAAGTAGTGCCTAGGGGAAGCTTAGATTGGATATTAGGAAAAGATTCTTCACAAAAGGGTTGTTAAGCACTGGAACAGGCTGCCCAGGAAAGTGGTGGAGTCACCATCCCTGGAGCTGTTTAAAAGACGTGTAGATGTGGAACTTGGAGACATGGTTTAGTGGTGGAGTTGGCAGTGCTGGGTTAACACCTGTGCTTGATAATGTTGAGGATCTTTTCCAACCTGAAAATAGGTTTGTAGACTGAAAACCCAATGTGAATTTGCAAGAAAGAATGGAAGGACAAGAGAGGAAGCCTAGTAAGATCAGTTGCATAGGTTGCTCCAAGGCTGGTTTTGCAGCGAAGGAATTTACTTTGGAAAGGACTTAACTAAACATATGAAAACATCATTGTGACTTCTTTTGCTGTTGTTTCGCAGGTCAATAGCTTTGACATAAGCAACGTGTCCCACAACCACGCTCGAGCCGTGCTGTCGCAGCCGTGCTCGGTGCTGCACCTGACGGTGCTGCGGGAGCGGCGCTTCGGCAGCCGCACGCACAACCACACAGACACGCCGGGCTCCGGGCGGGAGGACAGCTTCCAGGTGACGCTGCACAAGCGTGACTCCAGCGAGCAGCTCGGCATCAAGCTGGTGCGCAGAACGGATGAGCCGGGGGTTTTTATTCTCGACCTCTTGGAAGGGGGTTTGGCTGCTCAGGACGGCAGGCTCTGCAGTAATGACCGCGTGCTGGCCATCAATGGACACGACTTGAAGCACGGCACACCGGAGCTTGCTGCTCAGGTTATACAGGTAATTTGCTTTCCCTATCTGAGCCCTTAGCTCAGATTTATTTCTAGAGTCTGTTCCCAGACTGAACAGCTTGTGTGAGGCCGAAAAGCCTGTGTCAATGTAACTTACAGTGATTTATGTTCTGAAAATAATAGTGAAGAACAGGATCTGCTTTGGCACCTACCAGATGAACTTCACCTCCTCAGAAGTGAAAAATACATTAGTCTTCCCTGGAATGCAGCCTAAAGCTTAGAAGACGGCTCATGTGAGCAAGGAGAGTAGCCTATTGTAGCCTAATGCTTAGCAGCAAAGAGAAAAAAAGGATGATGATTATTATTTTATGTATGTATTGTATTTTAATCTTTCAGTAAACTCTATAGAAGTGGACTTTGATTTTTATTGATTTGCCTGTGCATGGAGTTGAGTTAAAACAAGGAAGTAATTTGTCAGATGTTAGAGTCAGCAGGTAGCAGCTGGGAAGTCAAATAGACGTTTTCCATGAGTTCTGCATGGTACAACTCATTTTCTGAGTGTTCAGAAAAGGGCTGTTTCCAGTGTCTGGTTATGTTTTGGACACGAATATTACCCAAAGCTTGTTGCAGTGTGGCATATGACCCTTCTATGCCCCCGCAGGAAAACCTTTACTCCGTGCCTTTCTCCCAGCCCGTAAGGAAACAGATGTAGCACTTTGCTACTTCCTGCTGATGGGGTGTTGGTGAAAATGGCTCTGTTTTTAGGAAAGCTGGATTATACCATTAGTATGTTTCTGCAGTCTAGTGCAGTCATCTTTGCTTAAAGCACCACACAGAGAACTCTGATACAAATGAGTAGTGAATACTTGTTTCAGGAATAATTTTAAGAGTTCTTGCAGTGAAATTAAAATAGTCATCTTCGGAATTGTAATTTCAGTTTCCCAATCTTTGTATACAGTGATTGGAATTTAGCATTCGGCAACTTTTACCTTTTGAGGTGTGGCTTTGCAGCAATAAAAGGAGTCGATGCTTTATTAACATCTGATAACTGGGTCTCCTAGTATTCCCCAAAATCCAGAATATGATGGTATGCTCATGTGTAACATCTTTCTTGCAAGTATCTTTGAGAAGTACCAGAGATGTTCAGAGCTTCTGGTCAAAAGCTGCAGATCTTGGAGCTATCACATAGGCATTTCTTCCATTTATTGCTTTGTGTTGCTGGAGTTCACAGAGGCTGCAAATGGAATGGGATGAATTTTAATGTTTCAAGCTTTGAAACACAAAGTGAAAAATGGTCCTTTTGACGAAGGATTTTTAGCTGATGTAAAGGTAACATCAGAGGTGAAGGGGGAATGTTAATTTCCTCTCCATTCTGGGCGTAATTGCAGAAAGAAGCAAGTAAGGGAGTGTGCAGTCTAAAAAGGAATTGGAAAACAAGGTCTGCTGTTGTCTTGTTTCACAGTCTTATGTTTTTCTCCCTTTCTAATAATCAATATCCTGTCAAACTTGATGACTTTTGATGACCTAATGTATTCAACAGGCAAGCGGGGAGAGAGTGAACTTGATCATCTCTAGACCCCTGAAGTCACAGACAGTCAGCATTATCCGAGACACCGGGACTCACAACAGTAACTCACACCAGCACCAGTCCCAGCAGCTGTTCCACAGCAGACCTAGCTCACATAAGGTTGGTGCTTCTTCTGAAAGAAAAAAACACTGGTTTACTTATGTGGTGGTGTGTGTAGCAAGGCGAAGCTGGAAGGAAGGATTATTTTTTTATTTTTAACTAATTAATAAAAAAGTGGTGATGACTTCTAGGTACTCAAGTCCTGCATAATGTCTGGAGTAGGAGCAAAAGATACACAACAAGTTTTCAGTATGTTTTTGGATTTGCTGACTACAGTGAAAGAAGCAAGTTCTGTGAGCTCATGCAGCTGTAGTTGTTAGACCTTGTCTAAGACAGTGGCTGGTACTCCTGCATGGAAGGGCTGTCATTCAAGACTGTTACAGTTTTTGTTGCTGTTGTGCTGGCTGCAGCCAGGAAAGAGGTGTGGTGCCCACCATCCAGCACATAAAGGCCATGTTGGAGGGATGTGTCATCTCCTTAGTGAGTCAGCAGTCCTGGCTGCAAGGCTGCTGAGTACTGCAGGATCTCCAGAAGGGAGAGGAAGGAAAAATGAAGGGACTTTCATGGAGCTAGTATCAAATTATTTGGAAGACCTGTAAAAATAGAGCTTGTGCTTGAGATGTTTTTCTAATTAGAAAAATACAAATCCTCACTCTTAAGAAGTTGACTTTGTGAAATAATTAGGTTGACCATGTCAACAAATCCACTTTTCCACCTGTCAACTCTATTTGCTTTACTATTTAGTATACTTCTGTTGGGATAACTTACATGCATTGATAGTGTTTTCTTTTAAAAGTGGGGATCATTTCAGAGAAGAACAAATGAGTCTCTAGGAAGGTTGTTTTCCTCCTGATGGGCAAAGGTGAGGCTCCTGAATACCATGGCCGTGGGTACTCGCCGCAGCACTGGGCCGTACCCGCACAATTAGTTTGTTGATGTCAGAGCTTGGAGCAAGTTTGCACATGCCAGCATGAGCTATGCTCTTACCACAGTTACAAAGCTGATCCAAAGTTTGATAAGTGGATTTCCCTCATGGATCAATGCTATGTGTGGGCTCTTTTAAAATTGGAAGTCCCATGTAACAGCAAGTGGACATTTCTAATGTTTTGTATCATTTATCTTTCTCTCATTAACATGTAGTTGGCTTTGAAGCTTTGTGGCTTAAAATATGTTTATATGATTGTGTGGCAGCAGCCAGTCCTGAAGCCTGAAGCCTTAGAAATTAATTGTCTTTATAAGCTATGGTGTGTTTACATATAGCTACTTCCATGATTAATGTGATTCCATGATTATGTGAGGAGGAGAGCCAGTCAGAAGAAGCACAAGGTATTGGAGGTCAATGAAGACAATGTTGTTATTTTCCAAGAGAAGGCAGGAGAATATATACACATATATACTTTGAAGAATATCTCAGGTTATTACTTTCATTATTTTGGATTCCTTGCAAGTATTCTGTCAATTTAAGATGCTATCACAGGTGTATGTGCAGTGGTTTGAATCTTTTACTTAATAGCCTGAGGGAAAGGCTTCAGCAAATAAAATTTACTTTGATTTAGATTTAGTTCTTTTTTTATTGGGCTGAACTAAATACAGGCTGAACTTCATCATTCGCTTGCTGGAAAATTTAATATAGGATCTCTTCTTGTTTCAAGCTTGAGTCTTCATTATAATCATTAGGGAGACTACCCAAGGTACCCATTACAAGCCATTAGCATCAATTGGCCTTAGTTTGTGCTCTGGGAGGTTCTACATACCAGCTGCAAAAGAGAACATGATGCATAAGGACTTTAAAGGGTCCCTTACTGTCATCATGAAAACATGTTTTCATGTCTTAGGAGCTTCTTTGTAGTTCTGAAGCATATGCTACTGACAAATGAAGTAATGCTGATGTTTGTGAAGACATCAAGAGATTTGTATCTGGTTTGTCTCCAGACTTTTGACCATATAGTTTTGTAGTGCAGTCCTAAAATTTAGCCTCTTCCAGTGTAAGATGTTAAGAAAAACTAGGGTAAGATTTCAAGATGGGCCTTTATAAGCTTTCTATCTATGTTTAAATATCCATACCCATAGGGTTTTTGTTGGTGATTTGGGGTTTTTTTTGAGGGAGCAGGGATCTGACCTAGAAGAAATCCAGCCAAAGCTGGCTTCTGCTACTTAGTCCTTTTAAACTGTTCCATTAAAGTGTCAAAGTGTGGCTTTGGGGTGTATTTAGTTGGTTTTGTTCTGGTTTTCGGTTTTGGGTTGCTTGTTTTTTTCCTTAGTTTTAACAATGTTACTTATCCTTATTAAACAGGATCTCTCCCAGTGTGTTACATGCCAAGAAAAGCACATTACTGTGAAAAAAGAGCCACATGAATCTCTGGGAATGACAGTGGCAGGAGGCAGAGGCAGCAAAAGTGGTGAACTGCCCATCTTTGTGACAAGTGTGCAGCCTCACGGGTGTTTGGCAAGAGACGGCAGGATTAAACGAGGTGGGGTTTGGCTTCCCTGGTGGCGTGGCTACCTCTGGTTGCTTTTTGATCACTGCATTCTCGAGTCAGAATGTCAAAAAGTCTTCTCACAGATGTAGGGAAAAGCTTATGGATGTTTTTCTTCATGATTTAATAATGGAAATACAGTATTTAGTGTTGCACTTTCACCTTTTATGGGAAGGGGATGTTTACAGCATGATAGCAGGGGAAATGGATAAGATCAGGAAATGTATGGTTAAATTCTTTAAAGCTGATGGTAATCCCCTGAGCTGATGGTCGCTGTGATGCAGACACATCCTGTTTTTGTGTTTTAGTGGGTTGTACCACATCTCTGTCCAAGGAATCTCTGCTCCCCAGTATAATATCTGAACAGTAGAGAAGCTCTGATGACAGGTCACAGCTCACCCACACAAAATTTTCCCCAAAAGCTACATCAGTGTTAACCCTGGTTCCCAAAAGCTTTCTTATCCTCTGGGACAGCAAGAGTTTGCTGGTCTTCAGGGGTGCTGCAACACCTGTCCTTGTTCCTTGGCTTTGTAAAAGGGAAAGAGGTGGTGGAGGTTAGGCTCAGCATAGGTGAAGGCAGTCCTGCATAATTGATAGCAAAGCATTTGATGATTAAAACATATTATGTCATATGTGAATCAGAGACTGCCTATGGGATCTCTGTGATTCACAGTTCACAGAATTACAGAATGTTTCAGGAAAGAAATTTAGGAAAAAACTTCACAGATTGTACATTTAAAAGAACAGTGTGGGAGCATCCTTCTATGCTGAGAAAGGGAGATTTACACCCACACACCAGCAGGTATGCTTTCTTTTTCTGTACTACTATGAAAAACATACTTGATAGAAGAATCACTATTGTACTTTCATTGTTTAACATTAAATAGCCACAGAAACTACTGGGAGGAAAAACCTTTTGAAAACTGAGTCTCATACCAAATGTGACCCAGGTGTTTGCACTGTTGCTCTGGTTTTTCTGGCTTTCATTGATGAGACATTGTGTGAAAAAGGAGTTTGCCACTGGATAGTTAATAACATTCTTGTTTTCATCCTGGGGCTTTTAAAAAACATAAAACTAAAATTGTGGAAATCTTTTTCTGTCTTTGACTCTTTCCAGATTATCTTTGTAGAGATGCTCCATTTCTTTCTTTGAATTAACTGAGTTTTGTGTGAAACTTCCCAGTAGTTCTTGAATTCCATTTTCTTCTCCCAAGTAACAAGTTAGTAAAATCAGATGCATTAAAACACTCTGTGGAACCTCACCTGTCTACAATAATTGGCTACTTTGAGGTGCCTGCATTGTTCCTGCCATCATTCTTCCTTCACTTTTAAAGCTAGGGTGAACCCAAGATCCACATCTGGAAACAGTTGTGTTATGGCATCTGCAGTAGCAGTTGCAGCCAAGCTGGTGAGGTACTTAAGTAATTTGTATTTCAGATTTTTCAGGGCAGTATACATAAGAGTCACGGTGTTTGGTGTGTTAATGTGGAAATAAATTACACTGATCCAACTTGATACAAGCTCAATACATTGAAGTTTCAAGCTGACAATATAAAGGCTTCAGAGCTATTAGTCTGTTAGTTCAGACTGTCTCAGGTCCAAAGACTCCAGTATGGAATGAAGCCCTGGCATGGGAGGTGCTGTGGGTGGGCAGGACTGTCAGACTGATGTGCTCTCCCTCGTTGTTTGGAACAGGTGATGTGCTGCTGAACATCAACGGCATTGATCTGACCAACCTGAGTCACAGCGAGGCCGTGGCCATGCTGAAGGCTAGTGCTGCCTCTTCAGTAGTTGCCCTGAAAGCCCTGGAAGTCCAGATTGTAGAAGAGCAGCCCCAGGTTAATGAAGAACAATTGAGTACCATCAGTGAAAATGAATACGATGCCAGCTGGTCACCGTCCTGGGTCATGTGGCTGGGACTTCCAAGGTACAGAATTAATCGATTAAGTACTTACTTAGCTGTTTTAAGCTAATTCCTTCAAGAGACATAAAGAAGCAGAGACCTCCTTAGTTGCAGCACATCTGCCCTTATTTCTGCCTGGCCATCTGAGCTGTATTCAGTTGGCAGTGTGGTTAGGAAGTGGGCTGTGAACAGGAGCAATGTTTCCTTAGGAAACTCGAAGATGAATAGACTGGATTTATCCCTTCACAAACCATAGTAACTACCCATGTGGAGTCTTCTGTTCAGGCACAATTCATCTTTTTTATTGCTTTATTGTACTGTAGCTTTCTATAGAATATCTAATACCAGAGCAATTGCCAATAAAACCACAAAGTATATATCCATCTGTCTCTTTGCTAATCTGCTACCTAAGTTCATGAGGCCAAATACTTAACTTCAGAATATTACATCAGATTCTGGCTATTCTGACAGACTCCTGACCTGTCCTGTGCCAAGACCGTAGCCGTGTAACTATAGGCTCGCATTGTTTTTTTTCAAGAATTTGCTACCATCTCTGCCAAGCACAAAAACTCTTAGAGGTTTGCAGCAAGCTCCCTCCCCTTAACTAATCTGCAATCTGCTTGACATCATTTGTACTCCTCACTCTCTTGAGGCCGCAGCTATAATCTCATTCTGGCATCACTTGTTATCAAGAAGAGCTCCAACTGCAGCTAGTAGAGTTGTTAACTTCAGTCAGGGCATGCAGGTTAATTCCTTTACCTCTGATGGATTTACCAGGTCTGTACTTCCAGTGTAAAACCACAACACAAACCAAACAGACTGGGAGCAGAAAGCAGCTGCAGATAAAACAACCATGCATTGGCCCTCCAGAGGTTTCACTTTTTGAGTTTAACTGCCAATTAATTCGTCTTCTGTTAAAGTATTAACAAGTAATCTCAATAAGTGGCTCCCAGTTTTGGTAAATACACTTCCTTTTCATCCTTTAGCAGCAATTTATTTCTCACCTAGTGGTTTATTTCTTTCATGCTACAGATGCCTCTGTATGGCTCCTAATACTACGTTATGCATTGTGCTTTAAAGCACTGTCAAACAACGGTAAAGAACTTGGCATCTTTTTCCTGAATAGCTAATTTCTATGTCTGTTTGTTTTTTAAATTACAATCATTGCCAACTTCACTCACAAGAATTAATTTTCACTAGGGCTGATAACATATAGCAGTAGAGTGTTATCTGAATTATTTACATTCTGTGTAATAAAATGGTTAGTCATTTATATTTTCATTACTGGTGATGAATCAGTACAGAGGTAATGAAGATTGTGCATGGATTTTTAATTTTTACTTAAAGTAGAAAAAGCTTAAACTAGCTGGGGTGGAAGACAAATGCTCTGCATTTTTGACTTGCAAACTGAACACATCAGGTATTGATTTTCCACCCACATTGTTGCCACCTGTGAAATCCCTAAAATGCAGTTCTACTACTGTCAGTTTGCAGAGTTAACTGTATTTAAGTAATTACTCTACCACTGCATTACTTTTGTTAAAACACTTTTCTGTCTCAAGATCATGGGGGATTTTTGGTAATTGGCTTGAATATTGCAAAATTACTCTGGGAACAGAGGTCTAATCACCATTCCTCCCCTTCTTTTCCACACTTAGCGCAGTGGTAATGATGAGATAGCAGCTGTTGTGCCTACTGTAAAACTGTACATGACCTTTTCTCTTGGTATCCTGTGCTTCCGTTCCACAGCTGCCTGCACAGCTGCCATGACGTGGTGCTGCGGCGGAGCAATTTAGGGAGCTGGGGCTTCAGCATCGTTGGTGGCTACGAGGAGAACCACACAAACCAGCCTTTCTTCATTAAAACCATTGTTCTTGGAACTCCTGCCTACTTTGATGGAAGATTAAAGTAAGCCAAAGTAACAATGGGAGAAATAATAATAATAGCAGTAACATCAACAGTTAATGAACCGCTTTAAAATAGTTATGTGCAACTAATTGCTTAAGGAAATATACTGTAGCATCTTGTGCTGCTGGCTCATGCAGCCCTGTAGTCCTTTGCCTCCCTGATGAGTGGCATGCAGACCAATAACAGGGTGTTCCTGCTGGGGAAGGGGCATCTCAGAGGTGATTCCATCTCCTGTACCCTTCCCCAGCTGTGCTGGTGATGTCACCTGCTGTCTCCCTGTTGAACTCCACTTCAGGCCAAGAGACAATGTGCACTGTATGTGTGTAGAACTAGCTAGTTTTTGTCTTCCTCTAGAATAGCTAAAAGTTAGAACTTCTGCAAAGTGGGAAAAACTGCTTTATGCTTTCACATAGCCTTCTAAAGCCACTGCTGGAAATTGATAGTGAAGATGGGTGCTGCTGCTTTAATAGAAGGGCAAGAAAGTAGATAATAAAGATTTCTGAAAAAGCTTGTTAGGGAACCAAGTCCCCATGGCATTACCTTGTCATTAGTAGGCAGGAAAGTCACTGATAAATGAAGGAAGTTCAGCAGAAGCCCCTGAGACGGTGGAGATGGAGCACTTGCCCCACAAGGAGAAGGCTTCAGGGGGAGCTAGCAGCCCCTTCCAGTACTTACCTGGACATTATTGAGGAAACAGAGCCAGGCTTTTCAGTGGTGCAGGGTGAAAGGATGAGTGACAACAGGCACAAATAGAACAAAAGAGCTTGTGACTGGTTGTGAGGAGAAACCATTTCCCTATGAGGATGGTCACGCAGTAGTGTAAGTTGCATGGTCTCTGCCCTTGGAGGTTTCTGAGACTTCTGGGTAAAGCCCTGAGAGTCCTGGTCAGAGCTTACAACTGACCTTGCTTGCAGTAGAAGGTTGGGCTGTAGACCTCCTGAGGTCCCTTCTGACCTTAAAGATCATATGATTTTACTTGAATGTTACATTTGGATGCAGCCCCCAGGTTTAGTATCCAGATATACATACTAGCCTCACGTAGGATTAGTTCAGAACTAGGACTTAAAATATTCCCATTAAGGGTGCTCTTGTTCATAAACTTGATTTTTTGTGAAGGTGGCAGTCAAGAATATGCAACTTGAAGTTTAGTGGCATGATTTTTACATGCAGATTTTCATACAAAGTGACTTAAGAAAAGAATGTACTTATGCCTAGAGCCTTGACAGTAATTGATTTTTCAGTTCAGTGATTAAATAAATAAATGAAAAAATAACTTGGCTGAACACAAAATTACTTTTTTTTTTTTTTCAACTGTGGAACAGTTTGGTTACAATTAAAGATCTCAGTTCAACTCAAATTAAATAATTTCGGGTTGGGGACTTAACAACTAGAAGTCTTCACACAAATGGAAATTCAAGCATCATTCCTAAGAAGAGTGGAAGAATCATCATGGTCAAATTTACCTCCTTGTAACATATGGAAAATACACTCTTGTGTGATAATGTGACATAGTACTCTCTTTTCAAATGTACTGTTCCACTGAAAATACAGACTTAAAAATGGGCCACCAGCAAGGGAGAGCCCCTTAGAACCTGTACCTTGAGTTACTGTGGGGCAGATCTCTTCTAAACCTGTTCTGTTTTGTTTAAATTATCTAAATGTTGGGCTGGAGAGGAAGGGAGTAAATAACTTCACAGTTCAATAGTTCAGACAGTTTTCTGCTTACATGATCTGTCTGGTGTGTTTTTATAGAAGGCAAAATTGCTTCCTTGGAAAGGCTGTGGGAGTGAGATGTCATTCAGTGAATTGCAGCACTTTGGTTTGGGTGATGGGGTTCCTTGGTTCAGGCAGAGAAGGACTTTTGAGTGCACATTTTGCCTCCTCTGCTCTTCCCTAAGGAAAGCTTGGGAGAGCATCTTTTTGCCCCCATTTTGGTGACATCAATACTGGAGTGGATCAGTTTCAGGAAGAGTCCTGTTTGATCTCCAAGTCACATTTGACTACTTTGGGGAATGACACACACTCAAGTTGCAGAGTTGTCTAGAGAAAGAATATGCTCAATACACAATGAAATTAGGTGCATTTTTGTAGTTTCCCTTAAGGTTTTAAAAACCAGAACTTAACCCTTCAAGGTAAATTTTCTCAGGGCCAGGAAATGGCACCCTCACAAATTTGTTACCAATTTCAAAATGCAGAGATGCTGCAATTGAACCATCTGCTGAGGGAGATTTCAAGCCAAATGGTTATATTTGATAAAATCGTAAGCCACTGAAAACAAGGTTCTTAGTTGGAATGTGGTTGGTTGGTAACCATAAGTATCTTTACTTACACCTCCCACAGTAAAAGCATGTTTGGTATAAATGTGTTATAATCCACACAAACAAACAGAAATGCTTCTGTCATGCACATGCTATCTCATCTTCTCTTGACTCCATTAGGTCTTTCCAAACGTCTCTTCTCATGTTTCTGTACAGGTCAGCTCTTAATGCAGAACTATCTTGATACTAGAATTGAAATAGAGTGATTTGAGAATTTCCCAGATGAGTTTTGGATTAATCCTAGAATAGCTGGATGTTGGAAGGGACCTTTTTAAAAGTTATCTAGTCCAACGCTCTTACAATGAGCAGGGGCATCTTTCAGTAGTAGGACAGACTTCAAATTGAACTGCTTTGGGAATTTTAGCGACACTTTCCAGCCTGATGCAAACCTACCATGCCAGCAGTGACATGCTGTTTGTTGGTGTGTACTAATTACTGCAGAGCAGGACTCCTAATGTGTTCTTTTTTCTTCTTGTGTTTTTTAGGTGTGGTGATATGATTGTTGCTGTAAATGGACTATCCACTGTTGGAATGAGTCATTCTGCACTCGTTCCCATGCTGAAGGAGCAGAGGAACAAAGTGACTTTAACCGTGATTTGCTGGCCTGGAAGCCTCATATAGAGTTGTGAATCACTTCGGTTCAAGCAGCATCTTTCTCTAGATAGCTGGCACAAATCTCCTCTATCTTTTTTTCCTTATTGATACAGCTGGTTAAAAACAGGGCCAAAACTGCTGTATTTTCCTTTTTTACAGGCCTCTCAGACTTACTCTACCTGTTTTGCCATCCTGAAATAGCTATTTCTGTTTGCTATGTCTGTTGCTGACACAAATGCAAATATACTCAAGCTCACAGAGAAACCCCCACTCTAATATGGCTATCATTGAGCTTTTCCCCATTAGGCTTGTAGGGTCAGCAGAAGAACTTAGGGGTTCTTTGGGTTTCTCTGCAAAGTCCTCAAGTTGTATTGTGATATATAAATGTAACATTCGTGTGTCCACTCTTCCCGGCAAAGAGACCGTGTGTCAGTTCCAGAACGACACATCTGTCTGCTGCTATGAACCAAAACGTGTTTCCAAAGGTTACATCTCTTCATTTCGTAAACCTTTCCATTTTTGATTCCACATTTTGGACTGATTCAAGTATTCCATCTTTCTTATCAGAAATTGCTTGGTCCCCCAGATTTTTCTTGCAGAGCATCAATGTTCATAGAAAAGTAGGACAAAAGCCTGATACTAGTAGAATTTTTATAAAGTGCAATAATTGGACTCTTTGTTAGGAAACTTTAATATATTACAGAGTTTGTACCCTATAATGACAAGAAATATGGAAGTAATTCCCGTTGCAATGCTGGCAAGGATTCATGTGCCCAAGGTCGCCTTTGAGTGAATGGCTTGCAGTATTAGACTTTACTTTACAAATGAATGTTTTGCTATGTCAAAGAATTTTGATGAACATTTTTATGAAGATCATTTTTACTGTTTCTATTGTAGTTGTCAGCTCTCTTTATTCAAGTGTGGAAACAAAACTCTGACTTGTACTTTCTAAATGAGAGAATTATTTCCAGGGAAAAAAGTAAGCTATTAAGAAACCGTATGTTATGGTTTACAGGTGAGCAGACTAGAAGGAAAGCTCTTTGATTTCAAGTCCAACTGCAGAGTAAGCTGCAAAGTTCACTCTTACTGTCACCTCCTGACAAATGTGCAAATGCCTTGATATCAAATGCTGAAAAGATCGCTTTTGCATTTCAGGATTTTTTATTTTTTTTTTCCTTTAGAGAGCACCTGCTATTAAGTTGTCAGTAACACTGTTCGTCTTGGATTGTATTTAGTATTTTTACAAACCAACCTGTAACTTCTAGACTTTGCCTTTCCATGTGTACAGGCCACTAAGAACCCACTCGTTTAAGAAAAGACAGGTGGAGCACAGAAAGAAATGTGCTGACCTGGAGCTAACCCTGTGTGTTGTCAGTGTTCTCAATATTTGAAAAGAGCTTCATTTATAAACCAGGTTCCCAACCTGAACTGATTTTATGAATGACCTCTGTATTGTATTATTAATTACCAGAGAATGTATTTGAGAGTCACAGCATATTTCAATTGTGAAGCATGAACTTTGTTTTCAAACTTAGCTGGTATAATATCAGGGCATATTATCGCATGTCATTAATTCCAGTAGCTTTGTTTTCAAAAGAAATAAAGTTACTCTTTTGCAAAAAAAAAAAAAAAAAAGAAAAAAAGGTTAAAAATATCATATGAATGGTTTTATTCCTCTCTGTAATGTATATTATTGGTTTGATTTCATAATATTATAATACAAAAGATTGTCCTTTCCAGTATATTACTGTAGTGAAAATCCTTGTTTCTGAAGCAAACACCAAATTTATTTGATACTCTAACTGATTTAAGAACCAGTTTTCTCCCATCCCCAGATGGTGTTTAACTGTATGCTTTGCCCTTAATGCAGACTTTTTTGTGAAGTACATCTTAGTGCGTAGGCTTTAGGGAAGTTTTTGACATATGTACTAGATTTAGTGTTTTTTATTTTAAAAATCACACTTTTCATTCAAAATCCTGCAAAAAAATATTTTTAGATCTTTTTTCCCTTTTATATGTTAAGTGTAATAAAAGCATGGGTTAGTTTAAACTGTGCAGTTCTGTTTCTGTGTGCTGTAGCTTTTGATCAGAATATCTAAGCGATAAAACTTTTCGGAATAAATTCGCTTCCTGAATAATTTTTTACCCTTTCTCTTGTAGCAGCATAGTTGGGTTTGGTTTTCTGTGCCTTCTGTTTTAAATTATTTCAAGATTATTTTTTTTTTTCCAAATATTGCTATCTAATTGTATGGTATTAATGAAGGATGAATGAAAATAAAAGTTCATTCTACACATTGTAATAACTCCAAAGTATCGTCTCACTCTTTGCAAAAGATATGGGGAGCTTGGTACAAACTCAGTTTAAAGATAATTTTTTTTCTCTTGTGATTTATCATAAATTACAATTAGTGAATGTTACCATAAGGGTCTGAGGGTATGCTCAGCCTGCCAGGGTGACCTACCAGCTGTTTAACCATTAATCCCAGCACTGAGAAGTCTTTCTAAAGTTGAGGTAAGATCTGTGCTTTATGGTGCTTTGCCACAAGTAGTGCTTCCTCTTTCCCCCTCCATGCCAGCTGGTACTGATCAGCTGGAGGATGTTTTCACAGCAGAGACTTGATGCAAGAAGTCACCCCAGGACAACAGTCTTGCTGGAAACATCAGTTTTACAACTGAAACTTGAGCCTCGTGGTTATCAGCTCCCATCTCCATCTCCTGCAGGCAAGGATGCTCTATCCTTAGATGTCTGCAATGCTAGAATGAATCTAAAAGCAATTTCTTAGTCATTTGCAGTAAAGGTGCCCAGACTTTGTACTGCTGCTCCTTGCAGTAGTTATGAATAGTTGAGTTCCTTTAAAATAGAACCATGCCTGTGTAGAGAAATGCAGAAGAAATCTGCCATGCCTGCCGGTAGATTATGAGGCCTTGTATTTCTTGTAAGGTAGGAGCCAGACCATCAGAGTTTTGATTTACAGACAGATGAAGGAGTTAATTGCTGCAGGGGGAGGTGCACAGAGCTTTGTGTAAGGTGGTGAACTTGGTCATCTGCATGTTGGAGCTTCATGGGAGGAACACCTTTTCCAAACAACCCTAGGGATCTCTGGTTAAGAATGTAAAAGCGTTTATTCTGCGTCACAGCATGCCAGTAAAGTGAAATGTAGGAAGCTCGTTTGCCACGCTAAACTTTCTCTTTACAGTCATGAACAACCGAGGGGAAAATCAATGTCACAGAAGAATTAAAAATATATATTAAGAATATATTTCTAAATTCTATAATAGGTCTGGGGTGGATATGATTAAAATCTCTGATTCTGGTTCTCAGAATGTGACCCAGACAACATCAGAAGCAAGGCAAGTTCCTTTTTTAAAAGAAACTTGACCATTTACTTCTGAGCCAATTTCAATGGATCATAAATGTTTATTAACAAACTGAGGTAGGAGATTGTCAAGGGGTATCTTTACTTTTAGGAGAGCTTTGAGAGCTAAGGAAGTTGAGGCTGTTGAGGGCTGATGGGAGTCCTTTCTCTTGACTAATTATCAAGCATTTCTAAGAATTGACAGCAGTTCTGACCATTAAAAAGTGAAGTCAACTTGTAAACACCCCTTTAAGATGTACAGTCAGAGGTCTCTTGCCCTCTTTGGTTTCCGGCTTCTGACAAGGTAACAAGGTCTGTCCTGGCCTCCTTCCCCCCCTCCAGGCCGGACGAGGCCGCAGGGAGGTGGGGGGGGAGGAGAAGCAGAGCCGGTCAGCCGGGCTTAGTTTTCAGTTTCTGCTGCTGGACTGAAACCTGACACCATGAACTCTTGCAGCTTTCTTAAAGCTTTTAATTCTTTTACTACCTGGATAAACGTACAGATTACTCTTTTTTCCTAGAAAGACAGAAAAAGAGAGACAATCAACATGAAGAAGACATCATAGAACCACCAAAAACAGTGAAGAAAAGAGTTAAGTTTTAAATAAGAAAGAGAGAATAAGGAGATGCTTTACAGCTGAAATATCTTTCTGTTAAAGCTATGGAGATAGACAATAGTAGTTTAAAAAAACTCCTTTAATTCATGACTAGAGTATTGGGAGGAATAGAGTGTTCAAAGTGTGGACTTTTGAGAAAAAGAGAGTAATTGTGATACTGTGAGTTGCTGGAAATGGGTAGAGTGAAGATTTTGAAGCCTTGGGGGGCAAAGAGAAAACTGTTTTCCAGGAAGGCTCACAGAGACAGAGGAAGAGGACTTCTGCCTTTGAATAACTCATCTTTAAAATGCCATCCCTAGACTCATGGCCCATACACACCTCAGAGTAATGTGAAATAGGAAGAGTGAACTCTGATGACAGATTCCTGGGCAGCTGGCATTAGAGAAATAGAAAACTATAACAAAAATAGTTTTCTCGTGAAAAACTCCATGGATTGGCAGAAAGAGACTTCTGTTTCTCTACAAAGACTGATGAAAAGACTGTAACAAGAATTGGGACTGTTTTTGACCATCAAAGTTCTAAAGTTTTTTGTCTCTATGTTATTATGTGTACAAAGAAATAGTCAAGTAGTGAGAGATAAAAGGGTTTTCTGGAAGTTTATTCTGGTGTTCTTATTCTTGTAGTTTGTTAATAAACTTTCTTTATTCCTTTTAAGTTTTAAGCCTGTTTTGCTCTTGTTCTAATCCATATCTCACAGCAAGAAATAAGTAATTTATTTAGTTACTGGTTTAAAACCACGACAGAGATCCTGATGGCTTAAAAGTTATGTGTATGCCAGGCAGGACAGCAGCAATGGCAAACACTGGATGAAGGCAATACATGCAACGTGGCCCAAGAAAAAAGGTGGCATACTGCCGAGGAAGGTCAGTGAACACCCTCTTCCCAGGTGTCTCAGGCAACTTCCAGGTGTCGGGGTGTGACATTGGTGGCTTGGTTCTGTTCCCCAGGACCGAGACTGACAACAGAGAGAGAGAGAGAGAGAGACTTGTTTTCTTGTGTTCGGGCTCAGTTGTTTATTCTTTTATCGTTATTACATATTTACAAAGAGCTATGTACACTAAGGAAGCAAGGTGCAAAATGGAGAATGAAGAATCTCTCCAAGGTCTATTATGTGTCTATTTGTCCAACAATCAAGTGCCAAGTAAATTATTTATTTTAGCCACCCAATGACCCAACACCTGTGTGCTGCACTGCCGATTTCTTTATCCAGTATCTCATTATTACCCAAAAACCCTTAGAATAAGAAAGAAGGAGAAAGGGACAACACCCTAAATCCTCCATGTTGTCTCTTATTCACTAATGTAGCTTAAACCCTAAACTCTAACTTTCTCACCCAGTGACTTAAGAAAACTCTAACTTACATTATTAGTTTAACTTAGCTTTAAAAGCTGTCTCCATGGTTTTAGGCTAAACTCAGCACTCTTGGGTGTCAGAACCAGGCACCACAGATAAGGGCCTATTTTCTGTGTCTCTGACCCCAACATCTAGGCGACCTTACTTACCTAAAAAGTGGTTCTTTGTAGACACATGAAGAGGGACATTGTCACACCTGAAATAAATCTGTCTCACTAGTGAAGAACAATTCTTAAATCACTTGCTGCTCAGAAGATGAGAAGGGTTTAGACTTTATACTTCTGGGACAATTCAAATAACATTATATGGATAGGAGAGCTTACTCTTCACTAAATGTTGATGTTGTCCTTCTGTTTGTTGGATGAGTCTCCTGACTATCAGCAGAGCAGTATGGATGCAACACCCATGTCAGTGATGCACTGCAGCTGATACAGTGATGATGGAATCCCGTCTGTATAGTCGCACAGGAAACTCAGAAATCAAATTGGCTCAAGAGTCTGGTTACAGGCAGCCTGCTCAGCATCAGCTGTGGCATCCACTGGGCCTGAAGCTGGTTAGAAGGAGAAGGAATGTGTTTGGGCTTGGGGGTTGTTTTTGTTGTTGAGCTATGCTGGTAAAGGCTGGCTGGGGAATTTCGTGGGTTGCAAGCACAGCCAAACCAACAGCATGCTCCCTAGTGGGGAAAGCCAAGTTTGTTTGCACAAGGAGGGGTGAGGGCCAAGTGCTCCCATCACAGGCTGGGGAGGAATCGGGCATGAAATAGCAGGGCAGAGCCTGTGGGGCTGCCCCTCTTTGTTCTCCCCTTTGTTCTCTCCTTGCTTAGCAACAGCAACCAGGTGTAGAGACCCTGTAGAGACCATGGCTCAGGTTTAGAGAGAAGAGGCAGTAGCTTTGAGGCCAATTTGTATCCCATAGCAGCCAGCCATGCTGGCAAATACCAGCTTCACCTACATGGGAGCTGGTGGTCCCCATGGTGACTCAGTTTTGGGGGATCTTGGAGAGAGGTGGTCTGCAGAACAACCACCCCCCACTTTTAAGATGCAGGTGCAGGGGTTGATACAGACATATCAGGAGCACTCGGTAACTCGGGTCTTGGAGCTATGCTTGCTAATCCTATGGATCCATCGCACACAGAATAACCTCTGCTGTGTAGGGGGCTCATCTGCAACTCTCTTTTAACCCCAAAGCACAGTGCATGGTGATGCAAAACCATCAGGCAGCAATACCCAAAATGCCTTTTTGCTGCCCATGAAAAGGCAGCTATTGAGCCTTAAGCAGCCTTGGGGCAAGCCTGGGCATCGGATTCCACAGGCCTTTCTCAGTGAACAGCTCCACTAAAGCCAAACAAGCTGGGCTTGCAGTTTGGACACAGCTTTGTAGGGTAAGGAATTAAGTACACAATTAAGGAATCCATTTGGTATTTTGTTTGATCTGGGACAAACCAAAGTGCTGGTTGCTTTGCTCCTAGGTTTTGATATAAAGTGATTGTGGAAAGCTACAGAAGAGAAGCCTTTTAATCAGATTAGAATAGATAAAGAGTATAACCCCTTGGTTATACAATTGAGCTTTCTAATCATATTAAACTTTAATACCAGCATCACTGCCATATTGGAACAACAATAGCAAAAAGCTGTAAGCATAAAATATTACAGATCCTTAAACATATTACAAAAATGTCATCCACTAAAGTTAAAAAATGTTATCGTGTTTGGAGAAATGTGCCAGCTGAAAAAAAACAAACAACACCCGCGAGGCTGAAGTCCTGTGTACATGTGCAGATTAAATGCAGCACAGCAGAGGCAAGGCTTGACCTTTTTGTTTCTTACATTTTTATTAATTAAATTGCTTCCCAAGCAGCTACTTCTGTCGTGGCTATTACCCACCTTAGCCCTCATCTACCAAGGTGCTAAGTACACTTAACTCTTTTTGCAATCAGTTAAAGTGTCCCTTGTTGTAGGATGCAGCGAGAGGTGGCTCCTCTTTACTGGTGAAACCCCTGGAAAGAAACATCTTCAGCTCTCTTGCCCCTCCACTGCTGCAGCCAGTGCTCAGCATCCAGCAGTGCTTAAAGCCAGAGAGGACTGAAGCCAAGAGCCAAAGGAAAGGGATGTTAATGCACTTCAAACGCCTGATTTAAGCGGGTTGATTTTCTGGCATCTCTGTGTTCCTACAGATCTGAATTTCCTCTGTGAGTCAGGTTTGTGAGTACAAAGGACCCTGCTTGGAGTCAGTGGTCTTGCACTGAACCTCTGCCCGTGGCTGCGAGTCCTGCCAGGACACCTCCGGGCTGCAGCCGCCTTGAATCGTAGCAGATGATTGTGGCTGTGCCTCCTTGGCTGTGCCAAGCGATAATTCAAAACTGAAGGTTTTCCTTTTGTCTTCCCTCCAGCTGGAGTTGCCTCTTCCCCCAGACGTGCCGGAGGTGCTGCGTGGTTTGTTTGGATTGAGCAGAGTCAAGGCACCAAAGACCTCAAATTTCAACCAGGCAGTCCCTTCTGGCTGTGGTGTGAGCGTGGCTGGCAGCTTGGCACGGGGTGATGGCTGAGAGGGCGCTCAGGACAGGCCAGGAGCCACCATGCCACTTCAGCCCTCATCCCATCCTGTGGAGCTGGTCAGGGATGCTGGGTCAGCTGTCCAGATGCAGCAGTTTTTTCCTGTTTTCACCCCAGGGTGAAAACCACATCAACCCATCTGTGGTTATCACCTTGGGGTGAAATTTTATTCAGCTGAATATTTTGCATCTCACAGAGTCTTTCTCACCCTCCAACTAAGTAGCACTTACCTTCAGATATTTCTTCCCAAACTTTCCACCATTTCTTCTGGCCCTTTTGAGTATTTCTGGACCACTGTCCCTCTGCAGCCCCTTCAACTGCTGCTTCCCTACAACTGCTGCTTCCTTTCTTCTTCCCTTGGCTGCTTCTCTACAACTGTCTCAAGTGCTGTTTTTTCCAAGGCATCTTCCAGCCCACTAATGCCTCCTCCAGGCTCCCAGGGTATCTCTGCACCATCCTCTGACACGTAGCACACAGGGAGGTGTAGAGGCTACTTTGGCCTGGGGGTTCAGGGTGGCACCAGGACAACTGTTGGATTTTCTGCTCCCCACCCAGGGGAAGACTGGGACCCATCACAGCTGGTTCTTGGAGAGATCCCCCACCTCTGGTGCCTACCCCAGCACCCCACGCACCGGTGGCCCCAGGCCTTTCTAGCAGCCTGGGAAGTTTGGCTCTTTGTGTTTCTTTGTCATTGGCGCCCTGTTAATTATGCACCTTATGAAGATATCTGATGCAATCATACCCTTCTAAAAATGCCTCGGATTAAAAGCTTTTCCTGGGTCTTTAGGTGATGGGCCTGCAATTACAGAAAATGAACTGCATTTTAGCTTTCCATTGAAATTAATAACAGTGCTT